GCATTCAAAAATCATGTGTAGGTCCTCAGCAACCATAATACTGGCTTTAAAATCTCAAGAGTTTTTGTTTATTTAAAGATGCCTTTTGGGTTCTTCTTTTTTATCCTCCATTTTTTGAAACCTGAGGGTGCACTTGGGTCACCTTTTCAAATTGTTTCTTTTTCTAAGGAAAGCTGAGATTCTCCCATCATCCCAGGAATCCAGGAGCTGGGGCTTTAAACAAACCACCCTACGTTGTGAGTCTTGCACTAAAATCACGAGAGTTGGTAACAGCTGAATGGATCTGGTGGGAGTTGGGGCAGCCAAATGGATCTGGTGGGAGCTGTGCAGGCGGGGGAGGAGGCGGGGTGCAGCATGGAGGTGGGGCGGGGGGCAGAATTTAAAAAAGAATGGAGCTCCTGTGGGCAAAATAGGGAGAAGGAGCAGATTCCCCACTCCCCACCCCCAGCATCATTACTCAACGTGGGGTTACTGGAGGTGCTGGGGGTGGGTGGTACTAGGAACCCTAGTGGAGCACATGGTGGAGATGAGGCTAGGAAGGAAAGGCTGGAGGGCATAAGGGGAAAATATGGAAACTGCAAGGGAGAAGGAGAAGAGGGAAAGTCTCCAAGTATGAAGACTGGAATATACCATGCTCCTCACTCACCCCCCATTTACTGTCTCTCTTTTCTAGAGGTGTGTGTGAGAGAGAGAGAAAGGATGAAAGTAACTCTGAGTCTAATTGATCAGGGAAATGGCTCAGATAAAGTCACAGGTTTCAAGGGAAAACCATGAACTTCTCAGCTGGAAGGAGCAGAAATCACCCCAGCGAAGCTTTTTTCCTATCTTTTCTTTACAATGCCTCAAAAGAAAATTGCCTTCCTTTGGGACGGTCACATTTGCTGCTGGACTTTACAGAGTCTTCAGCTTTTCTGTAACCTGAAACATTTATTTTTCTCATCTAGTGTCTCATTACTTGTTCTCTGTTCTCTCCCCCTGCCCCTGTTACACAGTCTATAAACCAGAAGGTGGAAATGAACAAGAAAGAGAGTACGTGTAACCAGTGAGCTGCTGGGGTAGCCTTTGAGACTTTATCCATCTGGTTCCCAAGGACTCAGCTTGACCCCGAATGCATCACTAAGGTTTCTTTCTTGGCATACAATCAAAGTATACTTCAGTTGATCAGGCTCAAGTGTAGAGGGTGGGAACAGGGTATGCCACACATCCAATGTACATAATCATGAATCAGCTTCAAGACCTGGTTACACTTAATACTACTGGTTAATAGATCAGATCACACACTCTATGATTGGTCCACTAATTTTTGTAGCCAATCCATGTCTAGATCATGAGCTGTTCACATGCTGCAAGCAATCACATGTTGCTTACTATCCTACGATCTCCTAGCTACATCTTTTACATATTTACAAGGCTACTGTCAAGCCATGCTTTGTTCATTGGTTCATGTTCTTGCTCAGAACAGATCGACATGGACTACAATTCAATGTGTGACAATTTTGGTCCCTGTAACGTTCCAGTAATTTAATGTAAAATATTTTATGTATTTACTTACTTATCTAAAACATAAGAAATTGTATCCAGGGCTCCAGGTGCATTTGCCATAAACTAAAAATACAAACAAACTAGTACAAACAAAACTAAACACAGCAGCCTTCCCAAGTCTAGGAAGGGGTTAAAAAGAATATTCGTCAATAATATGTGTGCTTGCAGTTACATCATTCACCCAGTAGGTGTCTGTGTGAACTGTACATTGTCCCAGAGAGGGTGTGGGGCTGGGTAAGCAACCCGGCAAGCTGGGACTCAAGCTGTGTGGAAGTCTGTCTCCCTGTGCAGCAGTTGTGTCTGTTTTCTTTCAAAAATGTCTTTGCTTTAGGAAAAAATGTGATTCCATTAGCGTGATCCCGAGCCTCAATGCACAAATCCCAGTTCTCAGTACACCCCACTTCCCCAGAAGCCTGGAAAATGAGATGGCCTTTGCAGTGTCAACGTGTCTGGGATAATCCAGATGAAGGGAGAGAGGGAATTCCATGCACATGATCCCTTCTGGAGAACACCTGGTGACAGCTCCCGCATTTCACCTGAGGTCACTGTGACTATGTAGAGCCCAGCTAACTTGGGGCAGCCTCTGTCACTGCTGGGTCTGACCCTGTATTTGGTTCTGGGACTTCAGTGGAGTTACACTTCCTTACATATCCTGGCCTGGGAAACATCGAGACAGACACCTCCAGCAGACTTCATCCTCTGAGAACATGAGGGAAATAGCTTCACTTGTCATGAGAAGAAAATCAGGCCCATGGTGTGGGATACTTGGTACAAAGCTGGAAAATGAATCCTCCTTCTGCTAATTCCGATCCGTTGCTAAGAGCTAGCAAAGAGGCAGTTCCTGAGCTGCAAGGAAAACAACGACACCACCAGTGACTGGAGGAGAAACACGTCATGCTGGGAGCTTTTTGTTCATAGCCATCGTGGGGTGAGTCTGGTTCTATGAATTCCTGAGCAGGGCTATAGAGCAGCGAGGAGGTCTCCCTATTCACACACAGACTCATCACAGTCCTATGTAAAGGTTTTGGTCAAATCACGGCCCTGCTAGTACACCAGAGGGGCATAAGGGGGTGTAACTTAGGTATCCATGCAGGAGAGGAAGCAGACACAGCAGAGCACAGGACAGGTAGAAGCTAAAGGTTGGGGAATGGGTGGATCATCGGCTCCACCTCCCCAATGAACCTGGCAGTGTAGCTGAGCAGATTCACCACTGGAAGTTCTCCGCATCAGTTATAGATCTGGCGGTTTGCTCCATCCCTGAAGCAGGGGGAGAACAGAAGGGACATTGTAACTTGGGCAGTAATGATCTGCCTCCTAGGGTGCTCCAGGGGCAATGCAACAACTCCCTGCCCCTTATTGTGCTCACAGGAAAGCTATAATTGAGCCCTTGGTGTTCAAGAGAAGACTGAGAACATTCCCATGGAGCGTGTCACACCGGAGTGGGAATGTTGGACGCTCTCACCTTGTCTGTCTGGCACCATCTCCCTGTGGCTCCTCCTGTAGCGCACGCTCATCC